GGAATCAACAGGCAACAAGATGTGCTCATTCTCTCTGGGAGCATCAGGGGCTGGAGCCGAGGCTGAGGAAGCTGTGTGGGCTCACTTGGGTAGCAGAGATGGGGACCCAGAGCAGCTCGCCCTATTCTGGGATCCAGGAACTCCTTCCTGGAGAGGAGGTACCTAAGCCGAGCACTGAAGTTAGAGCTTGTCATTTTCTTAGCATTTCCTAAATGTGAGTCCTGCTTCAGTCCTAGATTATTTTTTTTTCTATATTCACTTTCTGGAGATTTTATCCACTGCAACATTTTTTCATTATTCTTGCTCTGTTGACATCTCTCAAATCTGTTTTAAATTCTGCCCTTCTCTTCTAAGTGCTTGTTCCATGTGGCAGGGACCTGTGGAGCATGTCCACCTGAATGGCCCCCAGGATCTCTAACTTAACATGTCATCACTATCACTCCAGCATAAACCCCTTTCTTAAAAAAAAAAAAAAAAGATTAAAATCTAATGCTTGCTTTTCCTTTTGACTTCCTTTACCTAGTATCTTAATCAGCACCCTTTCAGTTAAGAGGGAAGAACTCACTCTCTGTGGTACATATGTAGCACAATGCCTGGCACAAAATAGGTGTACAATAAATAGTTGTCGAATGCACCACCTAGCTCAAATTAAAAGGAATTTTTTTAATGATATAGAGCATGCTCATTGAACCCAGTGGTGGGAAATACATAACTGACCAGTATAAAGGCAGCTCTGGCATCTGTGTTTTCTGGGGCTTCGTGGCCTCTCATCAACTTCTCTTTGTGTAATTGCTTCATTCTCTTTTTCCCACAGCCAGACTTCTACCCCACTCTTAGCATCTGGTTTCAGCTTTGCCCTCTCCCTGATTTCTGAGCCAGGGCCTCACAGCTCAACCTAGTCTTGCAGGACCCCAAGTCCAGGTTCCCAGGGAAGAGCACCTGTTAGGGCTTGCTTTAGTTAGGTGTCTACAGCTGGTCAGGCTACTGTGGCCTGGGGAGCCAGGGGATGCAATATGGACCATCATGTCTTTTGAGGCCTCCAGTGGGGAAAAAAGTCATGTGGCTGGAAAAGCAGTGATTCAAATTTCAGCACACTGAACTCTGTTTTGACTCTTCTTCCTTGTGCCCCTGTCCCCCGTCCTGTTTCTACTTAACGAACAAATCGGTCTTGACCTCTCAGAGATAGCAACATCCTCTCCATCTGTTTCCTATCCATGCCTTTACCTGGACCACTGCAACAGACTTCTGTAAGAACTGCATTTATGTCCTTCATACATATCTGCCTTTAATTTTTTCTCTATGCTTTCAGCCTCTTTTACTTCATTGATCATACACACCTATGTTTCTAGAGCACAACTTTTAGTCCTGTTGGGTGGCCTGTTGAGTTTATCCTGAGTTTTTTAGCTTTGTGAGATCCAGCTTCTTCCTCTCTTTCCAGCAGGCATCTCCTGCCATTTTTCAGTGTTGTGCCACAGGCTTCAGAATACTTGCTGGCAGATATTTCTCCTAAGCTCCTGCCTCTCTCTCTTTACTTTAGCTAGACTCTCCTGGAACACATTAGTTTCTTCATCCTTCCTATTCTTCAAAAGCAGCCTCCTGCCACTGGCACTGTGACATGCTTCCTGATTTGTCTTACAGGTCACGGGTACCATTCATGTGGAATGAAATATAAGTTGTGCTCCAGAATGCTCTACCTGCATGGCTCCCCTTGGAGTTGTGCAATGTGGAGTCCTGCCTCTGAACTGCTTAAGGCCTATGCGCTCAACCATGTGTTCTTGTTGTCAAGTGTGTCAGTGTCTCAGTTCCTAAAATTCTTTGATAGATAAGAATTTGTCATATTTGTATTTGCATTCAGCATAGTACCTTGCCTGAAATAGATATTTTGTAAATATGTGTTGAATGGTTGAGTGGATATTAATGTTTAGCTGAAATTTTTAAAAATATGAATGTTAAAGAAGTTTAAAAATATTTCTACCACCCAAATAAAATATTTACCTTTATTAAGTATCACTCTTATGACATTTATGGTGATAGATGCTACTCTATGAGGTAGGTTAGTGTTCTTCAAATTGCAGGTTGGTCATGAGAGCATTAAATTAAAAGAAAAACAATAGAAAGTATCAGTGTGCTCTTCATTTAGGGTGAGCAATGCTTCTGGAACTTTTAAATTTTTTATGTTATAATGTAAACTGTATGTTACTGTGGGTCATGGTCAAAAGAGTGTGAGAAACACAGAGGTAGGTGAAATTGCCTCCATTTTGTCTGTGAGGAAACTGAAACTGAGGTGTCGATCATCTCTACTCACCCGGCTGGGCTGGACAGTGTGGTGCCAAGCCCTTTCTCAGAACCTCTCGGTAACCCATAGGCTCAAATATTTCCCTGAACAGCTGTATTCATGTCTGTTTATTCAAGTGTATTCAGTTTCATAGTAATTATTACTCATATTAATGCAATTATACCAATAATATGATTATAATGACACTATTTCATATCTAGTTTTTCATGTTATGGGTTTCACATTTTTCAATAATGGTATTTCTTGAGTTAATAGAGTGATTTACAAAATCAACTCCCTATTATTTGGCATTTAAGTAGCCTTCAATATTTTAATATTTTAAATAGACTGCAAATAACCCATTCGTGATCAAAGCCTTTCTCTTCTATTATTTTTTTTTAAATGACATTCTTAGGATAATCTCCCAGACTGATGTTAGGGATAGAAAAGTATGAACATATTTGTATTAGTTTCCTAAGACTGCCATAATAAAATGTCACAAACTGGGTGGGTGGCTTAAAACAATAGAAATTAATCCTCTCACAGTTGTGGAGGCCAGAAGTGAGAAATGAAGTTGTGGGAACAGTTGGTTCCTTCTGGAAGCTCTGAGGAAGAGTCTGCTCCATGCCTCTCTCCCAGCTTCTGGGGATTGTTGGCAACCCTGAATGTTCCTGGGCTTCTGGACACATCGATTCCAATGGCTGCCTCTACCTTCACGTGACACTCTCTCTATAGATCTGAGTGTGTTCAAATGTCTCTCTTATGACACCAGTATTTAGGGCTCACCCTAATCCAGCATGACCTCATCTTAACTTGACTACATATGCAAAGACCTATTTCCAAATAAGGTCACATTCACAGTTTCTGGGTAGACGTGATTTTGGGGGGAGGAGAGACAAGGGGAGCACTGTTGAACCCAGTACAGTGTTTATCTTGCTAATATTCTTTACCTCACTGTGAAGGTGAGATTGTTGTTCTCCCCTCTTTCATTTTTAAAACTTTGTATTATGAAAATTCTCAAACATATATAAAAGTAGGCAGATTACTCTTATAAATCCCCATATACTCATCAGTCTGTTTCTCTTAGTGAATATAAGAACAACACAAAAATAACTCCTTGTATTTTTTAGTTATTAAAGCTGAATTTTTAAATATTTTTGAAGTAATCTTTTAGCCCTTTTTATACCCAATTTCTCTATATTTGGGTGTTGAAAATCATGTACTTTTCTTCTTGTTAGTGAAACCCCTTTCCTTTCTCTAGGTTGTGCTGTGTTACAAGTTAGCCCAGTTAAAACACCTACTTGCTGTGATGTAGTGAAAGAGGCCTGCAAATGTGATTTTGATGACTTCGTTATTATAGGTAAGATTTGGAAACTCATTGGATATGACCAGGTACCTCCTTCCTGTCCCCTCCACATATTAATGTGCGTCACAAGTAATACCACATTACAGTAGCGTTCAGAGAAACTTCTTCCAAAGTCAGATTATGTCCTTAACATAAAAAAAAAAAAGTCCTTCTTTCAAATATCTTGATAGTGAATCTCTCATTTCACTTGCAGAATTTAATGCAAAAGCAGATATTTATTATGGTCTGATATCTGTTTGGAGAAATTTCAGATGCGTATATTTTAAAATCTCATCTTTGGTCATTAGTTGTAGTCTAATAATAGAAACCCAAAAGAACTTGAAGTATGGAGATACTGAAAGTTGGTTCTTTCTGAAGTGTAGGGAGCAATTTTTATGTTCTTATAAAATTGACTGTGATTAAGTAAAACAGACTTAAAGACTTCTCTACTCCTTCTTTTATTTTCTCACAGAACTTGGAGAGTTTAGCAATACCACAGAAACCTGTGGATGTACCTGCAGCTCCTCTAAGAGGTATTTCTTTTCAATGTCCACTTGCACACAGGTCCCTTGGCCATCACCTCTGAAGCACTGTGAACTCCGGGCCTCTGACAGATCAAGTTCAGCCAGTTCCAATAAGAAGGATTACTACATAGAAATGAAACAATTATCACTCAAGTTTCTACAGTGTTTTTAAAGTGTTTAAGACTTTTGTATACATTCTTATTTAATCCTCATGAATAGGCCAGATGGAGTATTTTAAAACCCCATTTTATAGATGTAGAAAATGAGATTCTGATGGAATGTGCCCCAGGACACAGTGCTGTTAAATAACATGTAGGACTAGAACTCAAGTCTCTAAATCCAGTGCTCTTTTCACCATACCTCCCAGTCTTCATACCCTCAAGAAATAAAAGCTGCTGTGTTGAGCATGGAGGAATTAAAATGAGTAAGATAACATGGTTGATGCATGGCCTCTTATATGATGCCTCCTCTGACTTCTAGGGAGAGGGAAGAATAATTGAAAACGTAAAGAAGACACTTAACTTACTTCTTATGAATAAAGTTTTATTTTTTTTTACATCTTTTACATTTCAGTGTCATTTATGAGCCAAACTTCAATTCTGCTGAGCTAATAGCCAAAGAATTGTACAGAGTATTCCAGAAGTGCCGGATGTTGTCACAAGTTAATTATCAGCTGGCTGGTTCCCTGAATGCATCTGGCTCAATAGTAAGTATCAAAATAAGTTGACCTTGAATTATAAGTTCCTAAATTCTCATTTTGCATGCTGTTCACTTCAGACATGTATGTGTTTCCTTGTGTGGTCACTAGGTGTTGGGGGAGGACTCAAAGGGAAGGATGAATCTGACATTTATTGATGTTTATTATGCACCAGGGACTATGCTCAGCAATTCGCATTTTAATCCTCATAAATATCCTATTAGGTAGATGCTATTTTTATCTTAAAGTGCTAGTTCCAGACCCTCAGCAGGGCTGGTCAGTAGTAGAGCAGGCGTTGTGCCTCAGGCCACCTAATTTGAAAGTCCAGGCTGCTTCCCTGTAGAACACTCTGCCCTCTGACAGCATGCATCCTCTGGTAGGAAGAGAATTTTGTGGCAAAGGCTAACATAGGGGCAGGCAAAAAACACTCTGGAAATGCAGGGGAAACCAAGGGCAGTTGGAGCAAAAGTGACATGGAGGTGCATGGGGTGTACATTGAGCTGAGTGATTTCGTGTAGTTGGATAACATGTGTTTTGTGTATCTGTGTATGTGACCTGTACCTCCCACCCCGCACCTGGGGTACATATCCTTATTCCCAAATAGTTAGCCAGCTTGAGACTTGACCCATCTTCTACCTCAAAACATGCCTTAATTGTCACTGAGTGGAAATTCATTTCTTCATCAGTTGTAAGAGCTGAGACCTGTGTGTTAACGGAACTCCAGTCACCTCATCGATAAGTTTTTTGGTGCCGTGACTTGGACAGCAACTGTAGAGGGCCCGTTTACAGTCATGTTTAGAGTGAGCACCGGGAAAGGTGATGTCCGTGTTCCCTAACTTCAGGAGAGATAAGAGAGTCTCCAGCCAAGATTGATGAAGTTTGGGTTGCTTACTGAGAAAAAAGAAAAAAGGATCTGAGTCCACAGTACCAAAAATCTTACCATTGTGGTGATCAGAGTTCTGGTAATACGCAGGTCTCAACTCTTATCACTAATGAAGAAATGAATTTCCACTCAGCGACAGTTATAGAAAGTATTATTTATTAAAGGCACATTTTGAGGTAGACGAGTGGAACCTAAAACTGGCTAATCACAGGAAATGAGGATATATACCTGTGGGGGAACAAGTTACAGCCAGGGAAGATAGAGAGCTGTAACCCCAGAGGGAGGGCGGGGTTGGGAGTGGGGCGGAATGTCTGTGTTATATTAGGGTGAAATGGGTGGTTACAAAGGCGTTCTTAGGTGTTTGGCAAGTGAGCTCATTTCGATTGACACTTGGCTGCTATATAACACTTTGCCTAGTGCGCATGCGCTTACCCAGAATTCAGTCTATTATAATTAGATTCATGAATTTCCAGGCATAGTCGTGGTATTATAATATCGATATAATGAGGTTGAGATTGTGGGCCGGTTAGGGTAGTACCTTCTGCTCAAGCGTCTGTGGCTGGATTAAACCAGCTATAGTTTATGGCCCTCCTTTCTTTTGTTTCTGGGAATGCAAGAGGGATTCTCTAATTTCCTATAAGGTGTTTTTTGGGCGGTCTCTAGGCTGGGCCTCCATTCCTTTGTTCCCTTGTCACTCTGGTCTGACTAGCTACCTAACAGGTGTGGTGGGCAGAGGAGAGGGGCATGATCTTCCTAGGAAATAAGGCTTGAATGATAGTGGCCCAGTTATGTAGCATGTAAAATGCTAATCTGAGGAGTTTGTATTTTTAAATGCTAATAGGCAAGTTTGATAGTTCAGAGGAGAGCTAAGCCGAGTAATGGTTTTTAGCCCGTTTCCGGGTTGCCCAAGAATTCTGTGGTGCTTACAGCTGCAGCGTTTACCCCAAGATAACTTGTGGATTACAGTCCTAACTTTACCCCCAAGTTTGCCATGAAATATTTCGCTTTTATTATTATTTTTGCATTGCTCTAGTAGATCAATAGTCTTTGGAAACCAATGACATTCTATTTATAGCATTCTGTTTTTAGTAGTAGTATTTCTATTTACAAAATATAGTAATTCTCAATCGCCGAACATGTCAAATCCTAGAAAACGAAGCATTCCTTATGTGTAATTTTAAGTGAACTCCTGCAGCAAGCTGCACTTTTTTAAACGGGAAATGGTTTAAAGAGCTGTTTCTGGGGAAGTCTGACAACCACAGGGCTTCTGATTGGCAGCATCTGCCAGCCTATTGACTAAGAAGGGTAAGGTTTCTGCTATGCATAAAAGCATTCCAAGTAAGTGACCTACTTACAGTAATTTTGAAGTCTAGAAACAAATGACATAACAAAAAAAACTAAGGAACTAAGAAAAGTTATCTCAGCTGGGTGGTATTTTAAGCAATTTTTCTGCGTACAGCTTTAGATCCGTGAAGGGTTCTTGCCATGTCCTTTAGTTCAGTTGAAAGCAGTTTCAATTTTTCATGATAAATTTTAATGTTGGAAACACATTTGAATGCTTTTTAAATTTCAGTACCTGAAATATGCTTGTTTAAGTTGTTCCTAAATCCCCTTTTGTGTTATGCAGGTTGTAAGGGAAGAGAGTGACCAAAAAGACTTTGAATGCAGTGTGGATAAAGTAGAAGAAATTGAATTTAAGCCAAGGATCAGAGGGACAGAAGACTGGGCACCCCCTAGATTTCAAGTCATATTTAATGTTCATCCACCACTGAAGTAAGTCTGGGTAGCTGCTTGGGGCTCTGATCCAATTAAAACAAGTTGTTAGGGTTCCCACCTGACTCGTTGTAGAAGTATGTGAAAGAAAAAAAGTACACTGAGGAACAAAGGAAAATTTGTTTTAGGAAAAGGAAAGTTGGGCATATTTTTCTGAGTTAGCTTTCTTGGCACCTTGTTTTGACAAGTTGAGTATTTACCCTTAAGTACAAATATTATATAGCAACTGAAAATTAAAATAGGCTTAAAGGAGATTTTTTTAAGTGGCTAATATTGAATCTGAAAAAAATCATCTACGATAATTTTAACAGACAAGACTACTTTATTTTTTATTGAAATGTGAAATAAAAATCAATGGATAAATTTTTTGAAAAGGAATATAATCTTGAGGAGAGCTCCTGTAGTTAAAAGGCATGTGATATTTTTATCGTGACCATTTTTGCTGACCCTAAACTATAATAGAATTTTGCAACTTTCTTTGTATTTCTAAATCAATGTGAAATTGTGGCACTAACAGTTCAATAGAAAACACTTCAGTAGACTGTCTCTTACTGGAAGCGTTGTATAGTTTTGTCTTACATTATCTCTTATTCATCCAAATTTCTTTGGATCCGTTTGTGAACTTCCCAGTGCATCACCTTTTGTTATCTCGTCTACCCAAACTTTTTCTCTCTGCATTACCCATTTCTAGTTCTCTCTGGAGAGAGGATCCTGTTCATGGGCAGTGAGAAGTGAGAAGTCTTTCAAGATCCCTGGTGGAAGTGTTATTTCTGATACTGACTTCTGCTTTGGTGGTAGCAGGGACTATTATAGGATCCAGAGACTCCAACTAGAAAACTCTATTGAATAATTCTATTTCTTTACCAAATGAAAAATGACATTAATTTGGCCCCAAGTCAAGAAAAGAATCATGATGTTAATTTAATCAGTGGAAAAAAAAAATAAATAAATGCTCCACTGGCCTTTTCTGAAATTTAACTGTTATTGTTTTTTGTACTCAGGAGGGATCTTGTGGTAGCAACCCAGAATTTTTTCTGTGCTGGCTGTGGAACTCCAATAGAACCTAGTAAGTATGGAAAAGGACTGCCTGCTTATTATGCAATGACAGGGCAGAGGAGTAACAAAGCTGGGCAGCGCTTTGATTGTGTGGGAGGTATCTTTGATGAGAAGTTAATAGAAGAGCTTCATAACATTGCCCTCTTTTTCATGAAGAGCCCATCATGACCTTTAGCGCTATGTGACTAGCCTCTCAGTCTCATCTCCTAGTTGCCTCCCCATTGGGCACTCAGCTCTTGTCACATGGCCTTCCTGCTGGTCCTTGAAGGTGGCAAGCTCACTCCCAACTCAGATTTGCATTTGTGGTTTTCTCTTCCTGGAATTCCCTCCCACCAAGGCTAGTTCCCTTATGTCTTCACATTTCACTAAAAAGTTATGAAATTTTTCCTGGCTGCCCTTTTGAAAATGTCCACCTTGCCACAAACATACACATGTATGCATCATATTACCTTCCTTCCTATTTTTCATCCTAACACTTATCTTCCTAAAATACCCTTTTAGGTTTTACTGTTTTTATTGTCTGTCTTCCTCACTAGATTCTAAGTTTTATTCACTGCTTTATCTCCTACTCCTACAAGGGTACCTGGCACACAGTTGATCCTCAAAAGATAAATTTGTTGAATGACTAAATGGCTTACCACAGAACTGGCCAAACTCTTCTGACAGGATTTGGGGTAGTGACCTGAGGGGATCATTTCTGTGCCTGCTGAGGCATAAGCTATCAGGCTTGCCCCAGTCGGAAATGCAACTTGCCCACTTGGGACTGGAAATCACTTGTTTTGCTGTGAGAGTGTCCATAGGTCTGACATGGGGAAGACCAGGAGGAGGAGATTTGCTGAAAAGGGTTCCCTTGTAGGCCTTTGTAGGCAGTCTTGGAGGAAAGAGATTCTGAGGACCTACACCTCAAGAAAACATAGAAAGCAGAAATCTATCTGGGCTTCCTTCAAGCAGTTGGATGATAATGCCTGCCATGTATCACAGCTGTAACTAATTTTATTTAAATAATTCATCTTTCCAGCGAGTTTAGTAGGGATCATGTCTATTTGATTAACCATTATATTCTGGTGTCTCACTAAATATTGAATGTACAATCAGAAACCATGAACACATTCCACTAACTTTTTAAGTACTTCCCTAAGTTTTTCAGATATGGAGATGTATGCCTACACTGTTGATAGAATCATGATCCTTCCCTCATGGAGCTTGCTTACAGGAAGATGTAGTCATCAGCCAAGTAAATAACAAGAATGATGCATGCAACAAAAGAGAAAAGTCAACTTGTGCTATGTGATTTACTGCAAGGGAACTTACTCTGGGCTTGGAGGACTGGGAATAAGTTTTGAAAGGAAGTGATTATCCATAGAAGAGTGTGTATGTGTGTGGGAGTGGGGAGAGGTGAGAGATGGAGGGGAGTCACTATGTGCAAAGGGCCTGAGGCTATTGCAAAGAAATCCTGTGTGACTGGAGAGGAAGAATGAGAGAAGAAAATCTGCTGCAGAGGTAGACAGAGCATATATTATGGAAGCATTATCAATCATGTAAATAATTTTTGGACTTTTCTTGTGAAATTTCTGTAGTCCTTAGGATAATTATTAAAAATTATTTATTTTGAGATCATTTTAGACTTATAGAAGAGTTGCCAAAATAGTATAGACATCCTGTATACCCTTCACCCAGCTTCCCCTAATGTTAACATAATAAGCATAGTATAATTATTAAAACTGAGAAATTAGCGTTGGTAAAATCCTGTTAACTAACTATAGACTTTATTCAGATTTCACTAATGACCTTGATCTGTTCCAGAGTCCAATCCAGAATTCCACACTGAATTTAATTTTCATGTCTCCTTGGTCTCCTTAGTCTCCTCCAGTCTCTCACACACCGAGACACATGAAAAGTGAGCAGCAGACAACATGATTACCCTTTAATACTTCAGCATGTTCTAGCAATAAGGTTTATAAACAGTTATCACACCAAACAAAATAACAATTCTTTAATATTGTCTAATAGTAGTCCATATTTGTTGTCTTAAGATGTCTTTTATAGCTAAATTTTCCATCTAGGTTCCAACCAAATTTCATCCATTGCATTTAGTTATTTCTCTTTAATCAGCTTTATTCTAGAACTGCACTATCCAGTATAGTAGCCACTATCTCCTGTGGTGACTTCAAATTAAATTTAAATTAATTGAAATTAAAAATCCAGTTTTTCAATGATGCTAGCTACATTTCAAATGCTCAATAGCCACATGCGGCTAGTAGCTACTGTATTTGACAGCACAGATATAGAGCATTTCCATCCTCACAAAAAGTTCTATTGGACAGCTCTGTTCTAGAATTTTTGCCTCCTATTTTCTTTTCTATGACATTGACTTTTCCTAAAAGGAGAAGAATTGTGTTTTAGAGCAGAATTTCTTAGCCTCAGTATGATTAACTTTGTTGTGGGGTACTGTCCTGTGCATTGTAGGATATTTAACAGCATCGCTAGATATCACTAGCAGCTCCCCATTGTGACAACCAAAAATGTCTCTAGACATTTCTAAATATCCCTTGGGGTGAAAAATCACTCCTGGTTGAGAACCACTATCTAGGGTGCTTTGTTTTGTTTTGTTTTAATTAAAGGAATGAAGAAATCAAAAGAGATGGACATAATTTATTCTGTATTAATAATACAATGCTTAGTATATATTCAATGAAATTTGATAAATGAGTAACTGGATGTTAAAATGTTAGGATTTTA